GGGGCATGCCGGGGTAGCCGAGCCCCTCTCGCGGGATCCACGTGCGCTCCGGGCTCGGCTATGGCGGACCCGCCCCGAGGCGGCGGCGATGGGCGCAAGCGGCGGCGGGCCGGGTCGGACCCTTCCGGTCTGGGGGCGCGGCCCCGCCTGGATCCCGATGCCGCGGGCTACTTCCGCCGGGCCGCCGAGAGCCTCCGTGCCGGGCTGGGGCCGGGCAGCGAGCGGGGTGAGTGGGGTCCCTGCGGCGTGCGCGGCGCTGCACGTGTCTCACTGTGCCCCCCCCGGTCTGTTCGTCACCAAGGCGCTGGAGGAGGCGACGGGGGTAGTGGGGTCGCTGCGGGGTGCGCGGCGCTGTACGTCTCACTTTGTTCTTCCCCACCTGCCCCCCAGATCTGTTCGTCACCAACGTGTTGGAGGAGGCAGTGGGCTCCGCGCTGCCCCTGGCTCTGGACCCCTCTGGCTCCCTGCTGCTCCAGGCCCTGCTGCCCGAGGCCTCGCCCACCCAGCTGGCCCAGCTCCTGTGCCCCCTGCTGCCCACCCTGCGCCAGGCCGCCTGCCACCCCTGTGGAGCCCACGTTCTGGAGGCTGCCCTGCTCCGGGCTCCCCGGCTGCTGGGACGGGAGGATGCTGGGACGCTGGAGGAGCTGGTGCTGCAGCTGGGGCGGGCTGTGAGAGAGGAGCTGGGGACCTTTGCCCGGGACCCCCATGCCAGCTTTGTGGTGAGGACCCTGCTGCAGGTACTTGGGGGGGTCCGTGTCGGCTCTGATGCGGCCCGGGGGCTCTCGGGGACAGGTGAGTATTGATCAGGGCCGGTGTCATTTCCACACACTACCACTGGCGGGTTCTGTTGCCGGGGGACGGGACTGGGGCACTGGGCAGCAGGATGGAGGCACTGGGCAGGGAGGATGAGGAGGCAGGTGGAGAATCAAGAGGAGGTAGAGACTGGAGGAAACAGATTGGGGGATTGTGGGGGAAAGGACCTGGGGGGCAGGGAGAGAGAACAAACGTGGGGGGGGGCACATTATGATGGGGCAGGTGACAAGGGACTCAGTAGCGGGGAGATGTACAGCAGCTGCGGGGGACAGTGGGGGACAGTGGGGTCCAGGTGGGAAGGGGAGGTTGTGAGGGGGAAGGTAAGATGGGACCTGTTATGTGTGTGGGGGTTCGAGACTGAGAAGAGGGGTGGCAGGATGCCCCACAGAGATGTGAGGGGTATGAGGGTCCAGCACAAGGGGGTGTAGAAAGAATGGGGGAACTGATCCTCCGCATCCCTGGCCTTTCATCGTTTCTGCCCTCTGAATATCCAGTGGTCGTGAGTTCCACGGGTTAACGACTCACTGTATCGTCCCCTTCGCTGCCTGATGCTCCCATTCATCCTGCTCTTCCTATCTTGCCCCTCCAGGGCTCCCTGCTCTACGGAAGAAACGGGCCAAAGCCGAGAGCGAGGGGCCGGTGGAGTTTGAGGTCCCGGACTCGTTCCTGGCCCTCCTGCAGGAGTTCATTGCTGCTTTCCAGGAGAACATTGCAGGTGAGCTGACCCCAGCATCCCCCATGGGATTGGGAGCACCCCTGCCACCGCTGGCACTCCTGTCCCGCTCCCCACAGTGCCCCCTGCTGGGAGAGGCCAGGGCTACAGTTGCTGGAGGTGTCCCCTGCTCCCCCACTCACCCTGTCCATCTGTCCCCTGCCCAGAGTTCATCACCCACAGAGTCGCCAGCCTCTGCCTGCAGGTGGCGCTGGAGGTTTTGCACAGGAAGCTGCCGGAGGCCTGCGCTGAGCTGTGCAGCTCTGTGATTGGCTACTTGAGCTCGCGGAATCCCTCTGCTGGATGCAGGTGAGCCTTCTGATTGGCTATGGCCATGAGGGCTCTGATTGGCTATGGGACTATTTGGGTAGGCTCTGATTGGGTGTGGAGGTGGGGATGGTTCTGGGAGGTGCTTAGTGTGGTCTGGGGGGGGGGGGGGGTTGGGCAGGTGGCTTGTGATTGGCTGTGGGATGAGTATGTCCTCCCCTCCTCAGAGTAGTGGGTACTTCCTGATTGGCTGGATGGTAGGCTTGGGGACATGCGATTGGCTGTGGGTTGGACCCATTTTGATTGGCCATGGGGGAATGGTGTGTGGCTTGGTAAGGTGGCTGCTTTCTACTTGGGTCGGTGGGTTGTGATTGGCTGAGTTGAGGTCAGGTGCTTTTTGATTGGTCAGGAATGGAGTCCAGCAAGTTGTGATTGGCTACAAGGTGTGTCACGATGGGGCACAGAGGCTGCTTTCTCATTGGTCAGCAGCTGTCTTAGGTGGGTTGTGGAAGGCTAGAAGCTGGCTGTGTAGTTTTTTGTTTGGTCCGGAGAAGGGCAAGTGGGCTGTGATTGGTGATCTGGTTCTGGTTTGTAATTGTGCCTACCTGGATCATGATTGGCTGAGGCTGTGAGCAGCTGCTTGCACATTCGCCAGAAGGCTGGTGATTGGCTGTGCGTTGGATGGCAGTACTCTAATTGGTTGTGAGGTGGTTGGGGGTGCGTTCTCACTGGGCTGTCTGATTGGCTAACGCCCCCTCCATCCCTGCAGCCCCCTGCTGGTGTTCCTGAAGGACCCGGTCTGCAGCCGAGTGCTGGACAAGGTGCTGGAGGTGTCGGAGCGGCGGGCGCTGCGGGCGCTCTACCGCCAGCACTTCCGGGGCCAGCTGCGGGCGCTGGCGGGCCACGGGGTGGCCAACTTCACCCTCCAGCGCCTCATCGGGGCTGCGCCCCCCCAAGCTGGTCAGTGGGGCCACAGGGGCTGGTGGGGAGTGGGGTGGAGCGGTGGGGGGCCTCGGGTAGGGAGGGGTAGAGGGGAGTGAATGGGGGGTCATATGGAGGGAGGTTGGACCTGATGGGGGGCAGCCAGTGGGTGGGGCTTGACCACGCCCCCTGATGCCCCCTCTGTTCCCTCCCAGCTAGGGAAGGTGCTGGCGGAGTTGGGCCCGGGGCTGGAGGAGGTGCTGGCCCAGGGGCACACGGGCGTGGCCACGGCGCTGCTGGGAGCCTGCCGGCGGTGTGGGGCCGGCCAGCAGGAGGTGCTGCAGCTGCTCATGGAGGTGAGTGGCCGCCCTCCCCCCGCTCCTGCTCCTCTCCTCCCTCGCCTGGTTCTCATCTCAGGCTCCCCCTTCCTGCCCACAGGCCTTCCACTGCTGGGAGCCCCCCACCCGGCGGGTGGCCTGCACCCCCCTCTTCGCTTCCCTGCTGCCCTACGAGGTGTACTATCCCCTGGGGGAGGGGCAGGAGGTACAGCCCCCCCTGGAAGAGCAGGTGAGTATGGGGAAAGATGGGGGGCAGGGGTCACTCCCCTGGGCAGTGATCAAGCAGCAGTGGTGGAGTTGTGGGGGGCTGGGCTGGCTCTCGGAGGGACTGGGTTATAAGGGGGAGGAGGGAAACCGGGGAGGGGGTGGATTACTGCTGGAGCAGTGACTGGAGGGCGGGGGCTGGCTGGAATGCTCTCCCCCTTCTCTCTCAGCCGGATCCCCCACCTGCCCTGGCCTCGGTTTCCCTCCATGGCTCCCTGCTGCTCCAGCACCTGCTGCACTTCGACGACCCCTCCCCCGTGCTGCGCAGCCTGGCCGCCCTCCCCCCCGGTGACCTGGTGACCTTGGCCTGCAGCCCTGCCGGCAGCCATGTCTATGACGCCCTCCTGGCCAGCCCTTCCGTGCCCCGCAAGCCCAGGCGCAAGGTGCTGCGTGGGCTCCAGGTGAGTGCAGGGCTGGGGGCACTGTTGTGGGGAAGCTTGCAGCACCCGGGCTACGCATTTGACTCTCCTCCCTTGTCCTCAGGGTCACTACGTGTCTCTGGCTTGCAACAAACACGGGAGTAGAGTCCTGGACGCCATCTGGAGCCGGGCCACCCTGCCAGCCAAGAGACAGATTGCTCAGGAACTGGGTAGGAGCTCCCTTTCCCTCCCATCACCCCAGTTCCAACCCTAGCTTCTCTCCCCACCCTGGCGTCCCGGTTGAATCCCAGTTTAGGCCAGTCCATCCTAATCCCTGGACTGGATACAGGATCCTTGATCTCTTCCTGTCCTGTTAAAAGCACCCGTGCCCCACCCATCTCTCACCCCAATCCATCTGTTCCCCCAGCCGAGCAGGAGAAGCAACTGCGTAATGACCCCTTTGGGCACCATTTGGTGCGGAACTTCGCCCTGACCCATTTCCTGAAGCGCCGGCGAGACTGGGACCGGCACCAAGAGGCGGAGACCAAACGCAAGGAGCTGTTCGCTGAGATTCTGGAGGACTGAACGCTGGGGGGTGGCAATGGGATTGCTGAAGGAACCCTTCTGGCTCCCGGAGAGACTCGCCTTCCAACCATAGAGATCCTGGAGGACTGAATACCAGAGTGGGTGCTGCCCCCATCTACTTCTACCCAGAGAGATTGTGGAAGATGAGTGGGTGCTGTGGCGTTTTTATGCCTTTCTTGGCTCCTAACCATAGAGACTGGGGGACTGAATACCAGAAGGAGTGCTGTGTGGGGGTGTTATGCTCTCATCTGCTTCTGACAAGAGGGGCTGGAGGACTGAATACCAGAGGGGATGCTGTAGGCTTCTTTATGTCCCTGTTGACTCCTAACCATAGAGATCCTGGAGCACTGAATGCCAGATGTCCCTGTTGGCGCTTAACCATAGAGAGATTGGAGGACTGACTGGGGGGGTGTTTGTGTTGGGGTCCTTGCCCCTACCCACCATTTGTTCTGAACCATAGAGATCTTGGAGGACTCACCCCCACTAGGGGCTGCTCTGGACTCCCTTTCTCCCTCTTGTCTGCTCCCAACTGCACGGAGGGGGGTACAGCCCTGATTTTCTAGAAAGGTTTCTCTTTCCCTACCTGCTCTGCTGCGTGTTCAGTGTGTGGGGGGGCGGTTAGTCAGTAGGGGGACTCTCATGCCCGAGACAGCCCCCTTCGCCCCACGGTCACCCTCCTATCCCCTTAGCTGCCCCCTCTTCGGCTCCTGTTGTTGCCTGGAAAGAGAGGGGGACTAGAAATGGACTAAAATCGCCTTTTTATTGTAATAGCAGCAGCTCCGCGGGTGCACTGAGTTCACCGGGACGGGGTAGAGATGGGGCCGGGCCCAGGCCTCAGTCTTCATAGTGGCTGAGCCGGGCGGGCTGGTGCCAGGTCTCCACCCCCTCCAGGAGGCGCCGGATGTAACTGGAGGCTCCCAGCAGCAGCTGCCCCATTCCCTGCATCACGGCCGAGGCCACTCGCAACACCTCCCTGCGGGGGGGAGAAGGGGGTGAGAGGTGGTGCTGCCTGGGGGGGGGGGGGGCTCCAAATTTGTGCCGCCCCTGCCCTGCCCAATGGGGGATGTCCTGGGGTGGGAATGGGGAGCGACCTCACAGGGTGGGAGGTGCTGTGGGGAGTGGGGTGGGGTGGGTGGCCTGCCCTGCCAGCAGAGGGTTGGGGGGGGCAGAGGCAAGGGGGTCCTGTTCGTGGGGGGGCTGCTGTGGGATGGGGTGCCTGCTGGTGGGGGAGGGATCAGGGAGGAGGGGCAGGTGCCCTGCCAGTGGGGAGTGCAGGGGGAGCAGGGCGGGGTCCCTGCCAGTGGGGGGTGCTGGGGAGATCGGGCTGGAGGGGGGGCTCTCACCCACCTCAGCACCTTCTTGGGGCCCAGGCATTTGAAGTCGCAGCTCATGGAGTAGAGCCCGTAGAACGTGGCTTTCACGTTGAGGCTCCCGAAGAGGTCGCGGGGGCCCAGCTTGTAGACGTCGAAGGTGATGCGGGCGATGTCCTGCCCCTGGCGCGGCCGATCCCGGCTCCACCTGTAGGCCTGGGCCCCTCCCTGTGGCACAGCGGGGTCAGGGGGCGAGGGGACCCCCGGCGGCCCCCCAACTCCCGGCCAGCCACTGGTACTGTGGGGGTGGGGCTAGTGATGTCAGCACTCCCTGCACCCTGGGTGGGCCACTTCCATTAGCTCCACCCCTTAGCTGTAGTGATGTCACCCCCTGAGTTCTGGCCACACCCCTTGGGGTAGTGATGTCAGAATCCCCCCTCCAGCTCTGGCCATGCCCTTTCACTTCCCCCCCCCCAAAGTCCACTCCATTCCCAGGATCCCTCCCCCCCCTTTGTCCACCTCCCTCTGTGGGGCTCCCCTGCCCCAGGGGGGTGAGCGGTGCCCATCCCCCTTTGCTGGCCCTGGGGCAGGATCCTGGGGTGGGGAGGGAAGTTGGGTGGGGGTGTGCATATGGGGTATCTCACCTGTGGGGGCAAGATGAGTGCGCTATGGGGTTGGGTATCACTGGGGTGCTGTATCTAGGGCTTGGGGGTATATGGGGAGGATCTTGGGGAAGGGCATTGTGGGTGGGGGGGCTCAAGTGTCCTATGGGTGGGGTATCATCTTGGACAGGTGTGATGTGTGTCTCATGGGGTGGAGGAGGGCCGGGGGGGGGTCTCCCGGGGGTGTGTATGTGCATAGGGAGTTTCTCTTTGTAGGGATGTGGGGGATCTCACTTTGGGAGGGGGGTGTCTCTCCTGTGTGTGCTGTATGGGGGGGGTCTCTCCATGGAGAGGGTGAATTGGGGGTTCCCCTGCAGAGCTGTATGGGGGGCAGGATGGATGGGTGGGTCTGTGTGTGTGTGTGTGGGTCAGGGCAGGTGGGGTCTCCCCTGGAGGTGTATGTGGGGGGGTGTCTCCTTAGGGGACGTACTGGGTTGGTGTGTTGAGCATCTCCCCCGTAGGGGGACGGGGGACCAGGGTGTGTGTGGGGGCTTATGGGGTCTCCATTGTGGGGGTTGGGGTGTGTTTGTGGGGTCTCCCCTGCAGGGTCTGGAGGGCAGGGCTGGGCTCACTCACCCGTGGGGGGCTCCAGCTCTGCCCGGGGCCCAGCAGCATCAGGGCCGTGTCGGGGGGCAGCGCCTGGAAAAAGGCCTCGCTCTCCACTGCCGTCCCGTCCTCCTCCAGCACCAGCCCCGCCAGCCCCGCCACCAGCAGTGCCTCCATCGCCTGGGGGGGCAGAGTGGTGAGGGGGGGCACCCTGAGTGCGGGGGGGAAGCAATGAGGAGTGTAGGGCACAGGAGCAGCGGGTGGATGGGGGAGCAGGAAAGGGGGTGGGGGAGCAGTGAGGAGTCAGTGTGGTGAGCAGGGGATGGGGGAGCAAGGAGCTGTAGGGGGGAGCAGGTGGGGGGAGGGGAGCAAGGAGGTGGGGGTGGCTCAGCTTGACCACCAGGTCCTGCAGGTTGCTGGGGGGGGGGGCGGGAGGAGGAGCAGGCTGGCTGTTGGGGGACAGTGGGGCAGGGCTGGGTGAGCTGCAGCAGGGTGGGCCTGGGGGGTGGTATGGGGGGGCTGGGGGAGTGGGGTTAGGGGAGCATGGGGGGCTGAGGGTGAGCGAGTGGGGGTCGGGGTAGTGAGGGGAGCGAGGTGGTCTGGGGGTAGCAGGGTGGGGGAGTTGGGGTAACAAGGAGTTAGGTGGGGTCAGGGGGAGTGGTGAGGGTCTGGGGGAGCAAGGCAGTCAGGGGTAGCAGTGTGGGATAGTTGGGGGAGGGGAAGCAGGGGGTATCAGTGGGGGTAATATGGCAGGTCGGGGTGGCAGGGTGGGGGAGTTGGGAGTGGAGGGAGTATGGGGAGGTCGGGGGGGGAAGAGGGAGGGATGTAGTCAGGGGTACTAGGGGGAGCATGGGGGGGCTCACCTTGGCCAGCAGCTCCTGCAGGGTCCCGGCCATCAACCCTGTGCGACCCCCCCGCCGGTGGTCACAGACACGGAAGGGCCGCTGGGGGGGGGCACGGGGGGCCAAGACCCGACGGGTCAGCTCCGAGCCAGCGCTGGACACCGACCTGGGGGATGAGGGGGTGAGTGGGGGGCACTGTCCTGGGGGGGACATGTGGGGTGAGGGGGTGCTTGGGGTGGGGCAGACAATTGTCATGGTTGAGGGGGTGGGGGAGCCACCGTCCTACTGGTGGGATATGGAGGGGTGGGGGGTCCAATGTCCTGTTCTGGGGTACCATTCCTGGGGGGCACAGGCTACCTCTCGGGGTCCTAGAAACCATTCTCCTTGGGGGGGCAGGAGGCGAGAGCTCACCCCCATGGAGGGAGGGGGGAGAAACCATTCCCTTGCTGGGGGGCTTCTTCTGTGGGGGTGGGTCAGGCGGGGACACACCAATGGGGGGTGTCAGGGTGGAATGGCCCATTCCTCGGGGTAGGTGGAGTTGACACCCTATGTCGTGGGGGAGGGGCCCTCCATGGGGGCCCTCCAGTTTGGGGGGTCTGAGCCCACTCACTGCAGCAGGGAGGAGGGGGCCAGGGCGCTGATGTAGTCCATGGCGTTAGCAGGGTTTGGGGGGGTCCTTGTCCTAGGGGTCAGGGCGTCTGTCCGGCGTTAGGCTCCCCGTCCATCCGCCGCCAGCCAGCCTGGACTCTGGACTCCACAGCTCGGAGGCGGGGAGGGGGGAGGGTGACACATAGCGGGGAGGGGGGCAAACTCCAAGGTCCCCCAGGGCAGGGCGGGGAGGGAGGTGGGTACTGGGACAGGAAGTGAGGTCACCACCACCAGTGATCTGTTAGACCCCACAGCTCCCCCTTGTGCTGTAAGGGGAGAAACTGAGGCACAGCTGGGGATGGAACAGGGGCGTCCTGGCTCCCAGACCCGCCCCCCCTTTAACCACCAGCCCCCACTCCCCTCCCAGAGCCAGGGAGGGAACCCAGGAGTCCCGCATCTAGTCCTCCCAGTCCCTGCCTCTCTAACCACTAGTCCCCGCTTCCCTCCCCAATCTAGGGATGCAACCCAGGCGTCCTGGCTCCCAGCCCCAACCCCCTGCTCTCCGGACTGCAAGCAGGCAGCTCTATCCCCCAGTGCCGGGGCAGGCTGGGTGTGCCCCGTGCGCTGCCCCCCCCCATCCTTCACTGAGCTGCGGAAGGAACCAGATCAAATTGCAAAGACACTTTTATTAGTGGCCCCCCAGGCCGGCTTCCGGGGCAGCTGATGGCGTAGCCGTTTAGTCTGCTCCCGAACCATCGTCGGATCCCTGGGCTCCTTCCTCAGTTACCAGGGGCCTGTGGAGTACGAACGGCTCCCCCAGGAAAGGCAGGGGGTGGGGATAACAACTCAGTTATCCCCCTTTGGTGGATGAAGAGACCCCAACAGTTCAGACGTCTTCCCCCCCCCCAGATCCCTCTCCCCAAGCTGGGAATAGAACCCAGGAGTCCTGGCCCCTCCACCTGCCCCGCTCTAACCACTAGACCCCAGTCCCCAAGCTGGGAATAGAACCCAGGAGTCCTGGCCCCTCCACCTGCCCCGCTCTAACCACTAGACCCCAGTCCCTGAGCTGGGAATAGAACCCAGGAGTCCTGGCCCCTCCACCTGCCCCGCTCTAACCACTAGACCCCAGTCCCCGAGCTGGGAATAGAACCCAGGAGTCCTGGCCCCTCCACCTGCCCCGCTCTAACCACTAGACCCCAGTCCCCGAGCTGGGAATAGAACCCAGGAGTCCTGACTCCCAGCGCCCCCCCCTGCTCTAATCACTAGACCCCACTCCCCTTGCAGAGCCGGGGATAGAACCCAGGAGTCCTGGCCCCCAGCCGCTGTAACCTCTAGGCGGCCGGTGGGGGTGCAGAAGGAAGGTTGCTGGAGAGCGATCCCCAGTGGCAGGGGTCGGGGCTGGGGGGTGCCGTGGTCACAGGTCAGGGGTGCTGCACACGTGCTCCAGGGAGGCCGAGAGCCCCTGGCCCTGGCGGAAGGTGGAGCAGGAGAACGTGAGTTGCGTGTACGTTGGATCGATGTCCTGGAAGGGTGGAGAGAAGGTGGATCTGTTATGGCAGCCAGGGGGCGCTGTGGGGTGGGAGGAGGCAGGAGTGGGGGGCTAGGCAGGGGGCACCAGGGGGTGGGGAATGGGGCAGGGAGCGGGGTGGGGCACTGGGCAGTGTGGGCAGAGGTGCCGCAGGGCAGGGAGCGGGACAGGGTGGGAGGCTGAGCAGGGAGTTCTGTGGGGTGGGAGTGGGGACTGGCCAGGGGCATTGTGGGATGGGGAGAGGGGTAGGGGTTGGGGGGCTGGGCATGGGGCACCATGAGATGGGGAGCAGGGTGGGGGGTTGGGCCCTGGGCAGGGGTCGCTCTGTGGTGGGGGCTGGGCAGGGAGTGCTGTGTGGTGGGGAGCGGTGTGGGGGGCTGGACAGGGGGGTGCTGTGGGGCAGAGAGCATGGCTGGAGGTGGGGCAGTGGGTAGGGGGCGCTGTGTGGTGGTGAGCAGGCTGAGTGTGGGGCACTGAGCAGGGCTGTGCCATTGGGCAGGGAGTGCGGGGCTGGACAGGGGATGCCATGGGGCAGGGAGCAGGGCTGAGGAGTGGGGAGTGGGAGTCTGGGCAAGGGGTGCCATGGGACAAGGAGCAGGGAGTGAGGGGCTGGGCAGAGGGGTGGTGGGGGTGGTCCTTACTGGGAATTCAAACTCAGCCCCGGAGTCTGCGTCGTCTTCCTCCTGGCCTTTAAGGGGCGCTGCCCCCCCAGCCGCTCGCCCCGGCCTGGGCCGCTCCGCTGGGAGCTTGGGGAGCAGCCCCCAGTCCTGGGACGCTGCCTGGGGCCTGCCCCCCTTGGTCGTCTGCTGGAGACCTAATCACAAGGGGGGGTCAGAGTGAGCTCCCCCTGCCCACCCCCATATCGCCCCCTTGGGCCCATCTCTGCCTCCCCATATCAGCCCCTCAGCTCCGTCTCTGCCCCATGGCTCGGCCTCTTGGCCCTGTCTCTCCCTCCCCCCCATATCGGTCCCTTGGCCCAGCCAGCTTGGTCCCCCCTTACCCTGGGGTCTCCCCATGGATGTGACACCATGTTCCCTCCTCTGGGTGCAGTTCTCACATTTCACCTCTAGGTGGCAACATCATATCCCACTGAAGCCAGGGCGTGGCTGTCAGAAATTCCCCTCTTAAAGGAGAGGCTGGCGGTGCCTCCCTCCCACACCGTGCCCGTCGATGCTGGGACGGGCACCCGAGGCCCTGGCACCAGGCCCAGAGGTGAGGGGGCTGCCCTCAGTGGGGGTGGGGCAGTCGTTACTCACATATATTGACTCCAGAGATGTCGGTCGACCTGCAAAGGCAGAAGCGGAGGGTCAGTGGTGGGGCGGGAGGCTGCTGGGGGCCCCTGTCCTCTATGGGGGTGGGGACAGGTCAGCCCATACGACCCCCAATGCCCCACACTGCTGCAAAGGATTCTGGGTCACTACTTTCTCTTCTCTCCTCCTTTCCTAGCCATTCATCCTTTTTGTCCTCCTCTGTCTCCTTCATTCTCTCTCCTGCCTCTGTCCCCCTTTTCCTCCTCTCCTCCTTTTCCTCTCTATTTCCTCCATCGATTTCTCCTGTCTTCGCTCCATTCCCTTCTCTCGTTCCCTCTGGTCACACTCCAGTTCCCTCCTTCGTTCTCTTTTCCTTATCCTCCCCCCGATTCCCCCCCAACCTCCCTCTTGTCCTGTGCATTATTTGACCCCCTTCTGCCCCAGCCTGGTCTCCCTGCCCCCCATCTTCCCCTGAGATCCACCCCGGTCTCCCCCACCCTCCAAATGATCCCTGCTCCCCTTGATGTTGATGTGACGAAGTGGGACTGTTCTTAATGTTTCCTCTGAATAGTGTGGGGGTGCCTCAGTTTCCCCTATGCAGTTCTTAAGTATCTAGGGGGTGGGATAAGGGTGTATGATCATTGCAGAGCCCTAGAGGGCAGGTGTGTGCAGGAGTCTGGACACAGAGAATGGCCAACACCCTGTTTCCTGGCAACTGATGGCCTGGGCCCTTCCCCCCTGCAAGGTGAGAGCTGAAGGGTTGGAGAACAAAGGAATCAGGTGACCACCTGGCCCGGGAAAGGAAAAAAGCCCAGAGGAGGGGGGGGCTGGAGGGGGTTTCAGTTTGGGGCTGGCTGGGACATGGAGTGAAGTGCAGACGTGGTTGTCTGGCTCACTGCCCCCCAAAATGGACCCAGCTGAGGGGTCCCGTTCTCTGCACCTGCAAGCTCTGTTTTAGACCATGTTCCTGTCGTCTAATAAACCTTCTGTGTTACTGGCTGGCTGAGAGTCACGTCTGACTGCGAAGTTGGGGTGCAGGACCCTCTGGCTTCCCCAGGAGCCCCGCCTGAGCGGACTCGCTGGGGGAAGCGCACAGAGGGGCAGAGGATGCTGAATGCTCCGAGGTCAGACCCAGGAAGGTGGAAGCTGTGTGAGCTGCGTGTCCTGAAGACAGGCTGCTCACAGAAAGGCGACTGCCCCAGAGTCCTGACTGGCTTCATGGGGAGCAGTTCCAGAGCATCGCCCAGGGACTCCGTGACAGTTCCCCACTGAGATCAGCCCCTGGGTGTCTGTAGCCACAGAATCCTAGAATCTCAGGGTTGGAAGGGACCTCAGGAGGTCCCAACCCTCTGCTCAAAGCAGGACCAATCCCCAACTAAATCATCCCAGCCAGGGCTCTGTCAAGCCTGACCTTAAAAACTTCTAAGGAAGGAGATTCCACCACCTCCCTAGGGAACCCAGTCCAGTGCTTCACCACCCTTCTAGTGAAATAGGGTTTCCTAATATCCCACCTAGACCTCCCCCACTGCAACTTGAGATCATTACTCCTTGTTCGTCACCTGCCACCACTGAGAACAGTCTAGATCCATCCTCTTTGGAGCCCCCTTTCAGGTAGTTGAAAGCAGCTATCAAATCCCCCCTCATTCTTCTCTTTCGCAGACTAAACAATCCCAGTTCCCTCAGCCTCTCCTCATAAGTCATAGAATCATACAATATCAGGGTTGGAAGGGACCTCAGGAGGTCATCTAGTCCAACCCCCTGCTCAAAGCAGGACCAGTCCCCAATTTTTGCCCCAGATCCCTAAATGGCCCCATCAAAAATTTAACTCACAACCCTGGGTTTAGCAGGCCAATGCTCAAACCACTGAGCTATCCCACGTGTTCCAGACCCCTAATCATTTTTGTTGCCCTCCGCTGGACGTTTTCCAATTTTTCCACATCCTTCTTGTCATGTGGGCCCCAAAACTGGACACAGTACTCCAGATGAGGCCTCACCAATGTCGAATAGAGGGGGACGATCACGTCCCTCGATCTGCTGGCAATGCCCCTACTTATACAGCCCAAAATGCCATTGGCCTTCTTGGCATAAGGGCACGCTGCCGACTCATATCCAGCTTCTCGTCCACTGTCACCCCAGGTCCTTTTCCGCAGAACTGCTGCCTAGCCATTCGGTCCCTAGTCTGTAGCTGTGCATCGGGTTCTTCCGTCCTAAGTGCAGGACTCTGCACTTGTCCTTGTTGATCCTCATCAGATTTATTTTGGCCCAATCCTCCAATTTGTCTAGGGCCCTCTGTATCCTATCGCTCCCTCCAGCATATCTACCTCTGCCCTCAGTTTAGTGTCATCTGCAAACTTGCTGAGAGGTGCAATCCACACCATCCTCGAGATCATTTATGAAGATATTGAACAAAACCCGG